GAGGAGGAAGGGGGGGAGGGAAAGTAGGGAGAGAGGAAGGAAGGAAGGAAGGAAGGAAGGAAGGAAGGAAGGAAGGATGGGGGAGACGAAGGCCATTTAAGTTTAGGATCTGTCCCGGGAGGCACTGGGAGGAGAAGAACTTCCAACACGATCGGGGATAAGAATCACTTGAACCCAGTTTCCTGCTTCCAGCAATGGCGAGCCAAGAGGGTTTTTTAAAAATTCCAAAATAAATATTTAATGGAAAGGCCTTTAAGGGAAAGGTTATGGCGCCTTAAAGACTAATTGGTTTTCTTAGGTATAAAAGAGTCCTGCGCCCCCGGCATTTGAGTGTGCGAGATAAACGCGAAGGTTTCGTTCCTACCTATTACAGCCGATATACACACATTTTTCCTAAACAGGGAGGCTCTGAATTGGGCCCTTCACAGCCCACGCTAGAGGCCGTGTGACCTCGTTCCTCCACAGACAGAACCACAGTGTTGTACACGGGCAGAGTTGGGAGGGACCCCCAAAGGTCATCTAGACCAGCTCTCGTCCTTCCCCTCTTTCCTTTTGTCTGAGATCCGCCATTCCCAAACCAGGCCAACCTGGCCCCCCCTCCTGTCACCTGGAGCAAGGCCAACGTACCCATAGAGCAAGAAGAGGGAGAGGACCGCCGGGAAGTTGGTGGGCGAGGTGTAGGCCGGCAGGTCAAAGACAAAAAGGATGATGATGCAGCACGTGGCCGGCACCAGGTAGTTTAGCTGGGTTGGGGGAAGACAAAGAAAGAGGAAAGGAAAAGGTGAAGAGGTCAGCATCCAGACGGAGGAGGGGCTTACAGGATCAGGCCCCATCAACTGGACTGAAAGAAGCTCTCTTAGGATTTCGGGGGGGGGAGGGTTGTGGGGAATCCCCATGGACCACCAATGCCAGGTCTGCTACCCCCCAGCACCCAAATCATCTCCCCCACCCTGGATAAATGGGAGGATGGTGCCTCCATGGCCCCGATCCTCCACTAAAATAACAAACCCACTCCCCAACACGCCACGTGTACCATGTCCCAGACATAGTTAGCCAGCCAGTAGATGACCGGGTCGCAGCCACTGACGAACTGGAGGTGCTTAGCCTTGGTGGACTTCTCGGCCACGAGGAAGACCACGAAGCTGGCCGGCACGAAGGACATGGCCACGATGATGAAGATGGCGATGACCACATCCGTGCCCTGGAGGCTACGGTCAGACGGAGAAAGCAAGTCAACAGGTCAGGAAGATCAACAGGTCTTTAAGTCACTGGTGAGACCGACATGACCCACAGGCCGTGTCTAGACCCCCACCCCCTGTTTTTCTGGCTCTTGGGATCCCCTCCCACTGCTCTGTGGAGGGGTTACAAAAATAAAAATAGCATTTCTTGGAAGCTTCCACCTCTTGTTTAGGCAGGGAAGGCTTTAAAAAGTTCTAAGTCTCCATTGCTTTTTTTAAAATATCAGGGTTTGTTCCTCTGGTTCAAGGACATCTCCTTTCTCCCGTTGTCTGTCACCCTCCCAAAAAATTGGGTTGTGAAGGCAGAGATACCTACAGGTAATCGAGGGAGAGGCTGGCGCTGGTTTTGTTCATCGGGTGGTTGGTCAAGGTGATCCCTGGAGGGGAAGGAAAACGGACATTCAGAATTTAGAAAGAAACCGAGGGGGGCCACCTGGAAGCCGCGGTCTTTACAGGGTCACCCGAAGGAGCTAAACTTCTCTCTACTAGAGTAGACCCATTGAACCTGGGGGGGGGGCTTCTGGAACCAACCCTTGCCTAGGTCTTCTCATGGCTTGGATGGACTTCTCGGTCCACCGGATAAGAGGATGTAAGCCAGAGTGGTCCTACTTCCGAGAATTTGAGCCTCCCGCCAGAACGAACCTGGGCCTGTGGATTCCCATCTTAGCAGCTCACTATCTCTGCATCTCCAAAAGCTGCTTCTTTTCCCGCTGAGAGACCATCCAAATCTATGGGTAGACGACACCGGACCTTGGAAAAACCTAATTTTTCCGGACCACGGCTCCAGAATTTGATTCAGATGATAATAATAACCACCGGAGTCTCTAGGCCATGTTTGGGGGGGGGGGCTTCTGAAACCAACACTTGCCTACGTCTTCTCATGGTTTGGGTGGACTTCTCAGTCCACCAGATAACAGGAAGCCACGGGCATTTCCCAAAATCTGAGCCACCCACCAGAACAAACCTGGGCCTGTGGATTCCCATCTTAGCAGCTCACTATCTCTGCATCTCCAAAAGCTGCTTCTTTTCCCGCTGAGAGACCATCCAAATCTATGGGTAGACGACACCGGACCTTGGAAAAACCTAATTTTTCCGGACCACGGCTCCAGAATTTGATTCAGATGATAATAATAACCACCGGAGTCTCTAGGCCATGTTGTCCGTTCAGACTATTAAAGTAATAACCAGGTTGCGGGGCGTACCGTAGGCCGCGGGGTTCCCCCTACTCTTGGGCAGGTTGGCACGAAGTATGGCATTGTTGAGGGTGTTGAGATACGTTGGCATGCTGTGGTACCCTTTGTTATTGTAGTACACCTGGAGAGGGAAGAAGGAAGAGAAATAAGAGACCAGAAAGGAAAAACTCAAGATGCTGGGGCCGTCTCCGGGCCCCATCCTGCATGCTTTCCTGCTCTGTTACATCATCTTTGGTGGTACCCCAGCTTTTACATGGGGTTTTCCCTGTTCCAAAAGACTGGAGTGCCTCTCTTATAGCCACATTCTCAGCAAGATCTTTGAGCTGAAATTTGGCCGTCGGGCGCCTTCCCTTACATTAAGGCCCCCCGAGAACTTCTCTGTACAGTGGTGCCTCGCTAGACAATGATAATCTGTTCCACTGAAATCGCTGTTTAGCGAAATCATTGTCTAGCGAAAAGCATTTCCCCATTGGAGTGCATTGAAACCTGTTTAATGCGTTCCAATGGGGAAGAATCGTCATTGTCTAGCGAAGATCGGCCATAGGAAAGCCGCTTTGCAAACCGCCGATCAGCTGTTTAAATCGCTGTCTTGCAAAGCTTAGGTCCCGAAAACACCTGTTTTGCAAGCGCGGAGGGAGCTGTCAAAATTGTTGCCTAGCGAAAATTGGTTTGTCCATTGTCCAGTGAAATTCTCCCATAGGAATCACTGTTTTGCGAATCGCTATAGCGATCGCAAAAAGTCAATGTCTAGCGAAAAAAACTATCATGCGGGGGTAACTGTCTAGCGAGGCACCACTGTAATCGAATTTGGACCCTCTGACTGAGAGAATCTCCCACTCTTGAAACACAGCGGATAAATCTTTGCTTGAATTAAATCTGGGTCGGAGAAACACAGTGGGCATATATGCCTCTGCAGAAACATTGAACACGCACAACCCTGCGAGGTAGGCTAGGCGAGAAGGTGAAAATTATTTCCCTTGCTTGTCCATGGGCTTTGTCACCAGGGTGAGACTTGAACCCAGCTAATTTTCAGTCCAGCCTCCTGTCCCTCCCATCGGTGACGCAGTGAACTCTTCTCTCCTGCCTATAGTAGCTTGGGAGGCGAACGTTCAGAAACGCAACCAGGCTCTCCTACCTGGGCAACTCTCCGGACGGCTATTTTGCGCACCATGGGAGGGGCCTCCGCGCCAAATGATGCTGGGACGGATTTCTGGATGTTGCCAAAGGTCACGGCTCCATACCTGTGTGTACCAAGGAGGTGGAAGAAAAGCGTTGAAATCAGGCCCTACAGAGAGGATGATTTCAAAACTTGCAAAAGGGAGACACGAAGAGACGGGTGTCGATTTCCTTCCAGTCAAGAAACCCTGGGATGGCAAAGGAAAGCCACCGTCTCTCCCCACGCTGACCCTCCCCGCCCGGTTTTCCTCTCCCCCTCCTGCACACACACACACGCACCTGTGCAGCCGAAAGCGGTCCGACGTGTAGAGCAGGTACTCGGAGACGTTGCGGCCGGTGATGTCCACCAGGATGTCCCCCGTCACCACCTTCATCTGGGGTGGGTGGCCGCCCACGCCGCTCGGGCAAGAGAAGCCGGTGCCTTGCATAGAGCAGGTGCACTTGATGGGCTCGTGGACCACGCTGGGCAAAGACGGGGCAGAGGTGACGGTCCCTGGGGGGAGGAGGAGGAGAAGAGGGCACTGTGGCAGAATTTCAAATGCGGAGGTCTCCCTCGTCAAACTCAGCTCCCCCCCGCTTCTGCATGGCAGCCTCAATTAATTAAAGATGCTCAAGAGAGTCGGGGAGCATTGCTGCCCTTTGTCATTCTTACTACAGTGGTGCCTCGCATTAGAAAATGTCGTAATGCGAAAAGAAAAAAAAACATTGAAATGCATTAAAACCGAAGCAGGTAACCGATCATCGCAAAGAGAAATTTCCCCATAGGAAACATCGTTTTGCAATCGTTCATCGTAATGTGGTTTCGTCGGTAAATGGGCCAATCGTAAAGCGAGGCACCACTGTATTTGTTTAATCCAGAAGAATTCAAATGAACTGATTATTAGCAGTCCCCCCCCACCTCACTGATCTTGAAATTGTTACGGCTAAGCCGCTGTGCTTGACGCTTGGTCACTTGGCCCCGTCTCGGGCACGTCTGGGTGGGTTGCCGACCCCGCATTTCCCGCGCCTTACCTTTGGCGGCCGCGGGGTAGGAGGTGGCGTTCCAGGCCCGGAGCAGCCCCTCGTCCAGGGAAAAGGGATAGTCCGAGGGGGCGGGAGACGGCGGGGGCGGCACAAAGTTGGAGAGGGGGAGGCCCTGGGTGAAGGAGTCCACGCACATGGCGTCGAAGTATTTGGCAGCCAGGGTCTTCGACTCGTTGCTGTTGAGGTTGAGAGACTGGACCAGCTGGTCCAGAGTGCTGTTGAAGGCCGTCTTCAGCACACAGGTGGCCCCCACCCCCGAGGGCAGGTGGAAGGTGCCGACAAGCTGCTGTGGGCTGGCATCCGGGGACAGCTTCAGCCTGCGAAGCACAAGCGGAAGGATGGGCTTCGGAACCTTCTGCCCCCAGATCAGAAGACCTCTGGGCAGGATAGAACCAGCCAAAAATATTTAACCCATGGAGGGGGTGGGGGCGCGCGGAATAATGATTTAAATCAATTCAAGATCCATTGTATTTCTCTTCCCATTCTTCGTTGGTACCAGGTCGCAAGATTTATGGGGTATATGGATTTTGGCCGCCATGACGTTATTCCTAATTTCTGCATTTCTCCCACAGAGTTAAGGAAGCTTTGTCTCACACACACACACACACACACACTGGAGGGGGTGGGGGCGCGCGGAATAATGATTTAAATCAATTCAAGATCCATTGTATTTCTCTTCCCATTCTTCGTTGGTACCAGGTCGCAAGATTTATGGGGTATATGGATTTTGGCCGCCATGACGTTATTCCTAATTTCTGCATTTCTCCCACAGAGTTAAGGAAGCTTTGTCTCACACACACACACACACACACACACACACACATCCCTAATTTCTGCATTTCTCCCACGGAGTTAAGGAAGCTTTGTGTGCATTTATACACACACACACACACACACACACCTCTTATCACGGGCATTTCATTTTTTGTTCATTAAAACGTGTGCCCTGTTTGCTGTGGCTGCTCCGAAACACAACGCCAAAATCATGCAACTAGGTGGACCCTGCTACTGAGAGGTAGATTGCTCCTGGACCGGGAGGCTCGACTATGTTTCCCCTGCCCTGCCCCAAAGTGGGTGGCTTCTAGAGGCCCCTAAACGTCCCCAGAGTCTGCCTGAGTCTGGACTTGGGGGTCCTATCAGGAGGGAGAGAAAAAGAGAGAAAGATCGGATTGGGCCCCTCACCGGTATTCATGCCGCTCCTCATTTGCGTACGGGATGAAGTTGCCTTTCGGCTGGGTGTAATTGTGATACTGCGAGGGCGAGAGGGTGAGGGGAGGCAGGTCTCCTGCAGAACAAGACAGCAGGGTTGCAGGGCGGGGAGACAAGGCAAACCTCAGCATTAAAGTTTAACAAATACACACCTTTTTTTTTCATCCTTGGGTGAAAAGGGGGGCATCTCAACATATTGAAACACGCCATTGGGAAAAGCAACAGACGCCAGGGAGACCACAGAAACCTCGCGTGATGGAGCTGGAAGGGGCCTCTACGGGTCCCTCCTCCTCCTGTTCAAGGCAGGAATCCACACCCAAGGAGATCGGTCCGCTGTCAGTCTAATTTTCTCTTGGAGACCTCCAGGGTTGGCGCGCTCAACGCCTCTCGAGATCCCGGGTTCCCGTTGTCCTACTCCTCTAACAGAGTGTCCACGCTCTGCAACCCATACTCTACGGCTGCTGCAATTCTGCCCAGATTCCCAGTCTTAAGAGAGGGAGGAGAGGGCACATCGTCCCTTCGCTGAGCTGGCTCCCCACATCTCTCTCTTTCCACCCCACTGGGTGCCTCCCAATCCTCGTGTTGACACCACTGACTCCCCACGCTTCACCCCGGCACAGGCGGGGATGGTTGGATTAGGTACGGCCCATACCTATCTCGGGCACGGAGAGGGCCACCGTCATGGCCACGCAGACGAAGAAGGCAGGCAGCAAGATCTGGGAGAAGAGGGCCTTGGTGTTGCGCTTGGCGCAGTGGAAGCGCTTGACGATCAGACCGTGGAACTGGCGCAGCTTCAGCCATGAGCCCTCCAGCTTGACGCTGCCTTGGCCGGCCAGGACCTGCTCGTCCTCCTCGGTGTCGGCCTCGTGGTCTGCGGGAGAGGGAGAGAAAAGCGGGGGAGAGACACAGAGGAGACCGAGGTGCTTGTCAGCAGAAGACTCCAGGACTCCCATCATTTCAGGCTATAAAACTCCCTGCTATAAAAAAGAGCAATACAAGGCAGCCCTCGAGAAGAGAAGGATAAGTCTTCTCTCTAACTAGAAATCCCGGGATTTCCTGAGATGGTCAAGGCATTCCACTTGAAGCAGGATCCAAAGGTTATTATCTGTGCCGTACAGACACCCAGATCTTTTCCTGAAGCCACCAAGACACCAGAGACTCCATATAGCCCCACAAACTAGAAGGGGAAGATGTTGATTCCCCAACCTAAAATAAAAGAGCCCCCCCCCCAAAAAAAAACGGAGAAGTCGAGGGCTTCTAAGCACAGTAACCGTCTCCAAAAAATAATCAGTGGAACCTCGTTAACCTCCCTTCTCATCTGATCGCTTACCACCCAGAAACTTATTAGAGTTACTCGTCTGAATGACGACAATCAACCAGCCACAGACAGGAGGGGAGGTAGTTCTTACACTCCTGAAAGGTAACTTTTCGGAACTACTTCTTGCCCTTTCTCTGACCTTCTTCACCACCGTCAGCTTTTGGATCCGAGGATCCTCGGCATGTATGTGTTTATTGCTTTTTGGTTTACAGTAAAAAAACGACTTCCTGTTTTCCTTGGGTTTAACGCCCCAACACCAGGCAGGACGGAGCGGCCGCGCGCGCCATCAGATGGCAAAAGGCGGCAGGGCCGAAGGGCCGGGGGCACCCCTCCCGCTGACCCTCCCCGCCAGGGAACACGCGAGGGCGTGTCACGCGCCACGCACCTTGCAAGCTGACGTTATCAGGGTCTTGCGGGTTATCAAACAATGGGGAATAGTCCCCGTAGAACTCCGAATAAGCCCCACCTTCATCGCCTCGCACCGAGCCGGCCGAAGACGACGACAGCGACCCCAGTGAGGCCTGTGACTGGGCCAACTGGGAGGAGCCCAGCAAGCTGCCTCGGTCCGCCTCCGCCTTGTCAGGCACGCCGGAGCCCCGCCGGGCCTCTCCGTTGGCCTCGGGCTTGGGGGCCAGGGGTGGGTCAGGCAGGGGCGAGGCGTCCTTGTCGGACTCTCTCACATCTGCAAGGAGCAGAGGAAGGAGGATTTCAGCTGGGCAGCGCTGTGTCGATCCGGGGTTGGGCTAGATGACCTTTAGGGTCCCTTTGGCCTTCTATCAGCACAACCTGAGTGGAGCTATTGAATGGATTGGGATTTGGGGAATCAACCTCTCCACCATGTCCCTGGATTCTTCCGAGTCGTGACACATGACCCTAAGCAGCAGGACGTCTGAGTCCCAAAGGGAGCCTAAAGGCCATCTAGTCCAACCCCAAATCGAGGCAGTGTGCCTTCACTCTTACCCGCATCGCTGTTCTCCAGGGACTGGTCCTCTTCCGAGACCTTGAGGAAAACCTCCTCCAGGGTGGTGTCCATCAGGCCGAAGCTGGTCAAGTCTAGAGCGGCTAAGCTGTGTTCCAGGTGCTGCCAAAGAAGAGTGGAAGAAAGTAACTTTTCCCAGCTGTAGCATCAAGACATAGTACCTTGAGGGCTAAATCATTTGCCCATCTTTATGGCCCTGGCAGACTCCTGGATTCTCTGCTTGCGCAGCCCAACGTGGCTTCCTCCCCCACTGCAAGTTGGCGCCAGGATTAAAGCTGCGGAACTCACTGCCACAAGAATGGGGCCAATACGCGCACAGCTTAGCCTGAGTTTAAGACAGATTTTGGGGAACCTACCTGGAAGAGCCTCTCAAAACAGCCCTTTTTCACCGCCTCGGAAGGGAGGATGTAGGAGAGCTCCGTGTTGGTGTTGGAGATGAGGAGACACGAGGAGACGTACTTCTTGATGAACTGCGTGACTCGGGCTTCGGAGCAAGGGCTGACGGAGGAGGGGCCGGAGGGGCTGCTGTGGGTCTGTCCAGAGTCTAAATCAAAGAGGAAAGATCGAGAGAGGGAGAAAGAGAGAGAAAGGGGAATCGTTGTAAACAACCTGCAAGGGGAAAACCCAAAAAACGCTAAGCCAAAATCAGAACTTAGGGAGTCTTGGACTGGAGGCAAGAGGTTGGAAAACACCACAGTCTGCAGCAATGCTGTCTAGGGGACAATGGGAGTTGTAATCCAGCAGAGTTTGGGGCTACAACCCCCTCTGAAACACTCAACAGGGAGAGGAAGCAGCCCGGGTAAGGCCCGGCACGGACCTGCGTTGGTCCAGGAGTCGGACTGCTTCTTGACCACCGTCAGCTTGTACCCATCGCCGTAGGTGCTCTTGAGGAAGAGGGGGGACCCGCAGCACTTGAGCTTCCCGTGGGAGATGATGGCGATGCGGTCGCCCAGGAGGTCGGCCTCGTCCATGTGGTGGGTCGAGAGCAGGATGGTCCGGCCTGCGGGGAAAGACCAAGGGGGAGCCCCTCTGTGAAGGTGGGAAGGGCTGGGGGTCCCCCACCACCACCACCACCAGGACCCCAGATCCAGCATGCGAAGGCACCAAGACGGAGGGAACCGACGGGATTCCAGCACCGTCTCCGTCGTGATAGGCAGAACGGAAGCCCAGTCTGGATTTTCCCAACCCCTGGACTGAACGTCTGCTGGACTGAAGACCAGGACGAATCCAGGCCAAAAAGGCACAGCTAGAAACAATCAAGACTTTTGCTCAATAACGGGGCGTTTTTGGTGACCTGGTTTCCAAACCCTGTTCTTGACCCAGCATGAGAAGGCACCAAGATGGAGGGAACCGACGAGATTCCAGCACCGTCTCAGTCGTGATGGGCAGAAGGGAAGCCCAGCCTGCTGGACTGGACGTTCACTCTGTCCAGGACGAATCCAGTCCAAAAGGCACAGCTAGAAACAATCACGCCGGTCTCCAGAGCAAGAACCTTGCTCAATAACGGGGCGTTTTCGGTGACCTGGTTTCCAAACCCTGTTCTTGATCAGAGGTGGGGCGCTTTAGGGTCCAGGATCAGAGCCGGGAGATCTGTTGACGTCTTCCGGACGCCCGGGGCGGTTGGGGCCCCTTGCTTCTTTTCCCCCGCTCACCCTGCTTGTATTTCAGGATGAGGTCCCAAATCGCCCTCCGCGCGTAGGGGTCCACGCCAGCCGTGGGCTCGTCCAGGATGACCGCCCGGGACCCTCCCACGAAGGCGATGGCCACCGAGAGCTTCCTCTTCATACCCCCCGAAAGCGTTTGCACCAAAGAGTGGCACTTGTGGGTCAGTTCGAGGTCTTCAATCATCCTGGAGGGACAGAAACGGAGGGCAGAGAGAGGAGGGAGAGGGGCTTATGAGTGGCCAGAAGGGAGTCCGGGATGTGGGCCAGAGAGAGAGAGAGAGAGAGAGAGAAAGCCTGGCGCCCTTACTTATCCATCTCCTTCAGGATCTCCTCCTCGGCCATGCCTTTGAGTTGGGAGTAGAACCACAGATGCTCCTCCACCGTCAGCTTGTCGAAAAGCACGTTGTGCTGAGGGCACATGCCCAAGTTCTTCCGGATCTCGTCCATCTCTGTCCGGATGTCGTGCCCGTAGATGGTGGCCGAGCCAGAGGTGGGAGGAAAGAGCCCCGTCAGGATGGACCTGCGTCGGGAGGAAGGAAAGGCAGATCCAAGGAACGGTGAGCGCAAGGAACGCCCGCCGACCAAGAGGCAGGAAAGGGGGGGGGTGTCCCAGAGAAGCGTCAAGAGGACACAGAGGCTGGTCCAAAAGGAGACCGAAAAATGCCCCCACCCCACTTTCAAGGAGGGTGGAAACGGTGTCAGGTGACCCACAAAGGACAGAATCCAATTCTTTCCTCCAGAGGATCTCCCAAGATGTTACTGCCCTGCAGATGGACGCAGCTCCCCTCCATCCATGCAAGGGGGAAACACCAGGGCTAGGAGGGTGTGTTCCCCATCCCAACGGGGAGTGTGTGTTCCCTATCCCATTTTCCCCATCCCAGCGGCCTCACTCACATGGTCGTGGTCTTGCCGGCTCCGTTGTGGCCCAGGAAGGAGACCACCTGGTTCTCGTAGAGGTTGAGGCTCAGCTTGTTGAGGGCCATCTTCTTATCCGTCTTATAAATCTTGGTCAGCTTGTCGACGCACACCACCAGCGGGAGGTGGCTCGGCTCCTCTTCGATGCCGCGAGACTCCTCTGGGCACAAGACCAACACCCCAAGTTGCCAGATCGAGGGGATTCGGAGCCCCCACCCCACAAAAGCACCGTGGCATCCCCAGAGGCATTTTTTTAAACAAGGCCGGTGCAAATTCAGGGCCACCACCAAAGTCCCACCCCCCATCTCCCAGAAACTATATTTTGCTTTCCTCCAAGAAATGGAGAGCCGTTCGTCTGAAAGACCACCATTTTTCTGAATTAAACAACAAAAAAGTGGGCTTCTCTGCAAGCTTATTCTGTTCCCTTTGAAAACCAGAACGCAACCCGCCCCCTGATGGTGATGGGAAAGGTGGCCGGACCGCCGGACGCCCCCCCTCCCCGAGAGCTTCAGAAAGAGCCGGGCGTCCGCCCCCTCCTCTTACCCAGACGCCGGTTCTCCATGGCGCACGCCTGGTCTTCCTCCATGACGCTCAAGCGGGCGGTCCGGGACCACGGCCACGTCCACTCCCACGTCTCGGTGCGTCCGTTTCCCAGCCAATAGGATTTCTGGAGGGGGAAATACCAGGGCCGGGGGAGGCCGTACATTCCTGGGGGAGGAAGAGAGAAGAGTCAGGAGCGCTGCAAACGGGGCCAGCTCGAGACCTTCTCCCACCTGAGGCAAGGCCACGCATCATGACCACAACCCTCCCCCATCACGACGGACCACATCCATGTGCTTAGAGTTGGATTTTCAGAGCCTCTGAGTGGTCTATTCCACCGTTGAGGCTGCTCTGTTTTCAGTAGGACTGGCTGTGGCCATAAAACCATCTCACAAACAAGCAAAAACATAACCATCAAGGAAAATAAGAATACAGTGGTGCCTCGCTTAAGAACAAGCAACACACATGACCATCAAGGAAAATAAGAATACAGTGATGCCTCGCTTAACGAGCGCACCGTATAACTTTGGGATCGCTAATGTGATCGCTTACCAATGGCCCCAATGGGCGAAAATCACACTGCGTTTCGCTTACCGATCTTCCATTGCGACACCCGACAATCAGCTGTTCGGCGGTTCTAAAATGGCCGCCGCGCGACCCAAAATGGCCGCCGCAACCATTTTCGCGCCCTGCCCTCGCTTACTGAGGGCGCGAAAATGGCGTCGCAATGAGAAAACATTGCATAATGGTGAGTAAAGAAGCCACTGGAACGCATTAAACTAAGCTTTTTCCAGTGGCTGTTTCATCATAGCGAAGGTTAATCCGGAACGGATTAACCTCGCTATGCGGGGCACCACTGTATGTCTATATATCACACCAGCTGCCGTCCTGCAGCAGACCTTGATGTGTCACTGGGAAATGTTTCTTATTGTCCTCTATTTTGCTGACCCTTGTTTTGGCTCATCGTGCCAAAAGCTTGATGTATGTGGCTCGGCTTGCGCGCCGGCCTCCGCCTACCTGGGTGCACGGCCTCAATGTACCAGGTCAGCACCCCATAGACCACAGCATCAACGACCAGCATCATGATGGAGAGAAGAAGGTTGAAGTCGTCCCCTTCCACCGGCGACTGGCTAAGGGTGTGCCACTGGATGCCCACTCCCGCCACCTCGTAGAGCGCGAAGTACTTGGAGCCCAGCCCGAAGGCCGTGGTGGACATGAGCGACTAGGAGAGAAGGAGAAGGTTCGGCCTCAGAAAACGTCTTCCCGTTGTCCCAAAAAGGGGGTCAACGTGAGCCTGGGCAAAAAAAGGGTCTCAACTCACAGCGATGCACTTCTCGAAAGCGGTGATTTTATCGTGGGCCACCTCTTCCCGGATGGCCACGTACATGTAGGGGACGTAGCTGAGGAAGTAGATGATGCCACCGCACGCCGAAGCCAGCTTGGCTTTGGAGTACAGCACGGAGACCAGGAAGCTGCCGGGCGGAAAGAGACTCGCCTGTCATGGCTACCCAGCTGTTCCATTACAACGGAGGCAGGCGCGCACAAGCCTATCCGAGGCTGCGCAGACGCCCGGCGTCCTCCTCTTTCTCCACTTCCCCTCCCGCTCACCAGAACATGATGGTGGCCACCGCGTAGACGGCGAGGAACAGCCAAATGATCAGGACATCGCTGTGCATCAGGACCTTCCCGTACTTGAGAATGGCGGTGAGGGCCGTCACGGAGATGGAGAGCTGGACGAAGCCGGTGATGAACCAGGCCACCCAGTGGACGGCGTTGTTCAGTCCCATCATCTTCATCACCTGGGGGGGGTGGATAGTGCAAAAGAGACAGAGGAGGTCTTGAGAGCCCAGCCAGCTAACGGTAAAGGAGCGTTTCAACACCGGACACTTTTTCGTCCACCAATGTTTGAAGAACCATGCGCACGGGGCATCGTGGTGCATGCGCCCCGTGGATGAGCCCTAATGGCTCTCCTATTGCATTACATCTCATGGTTCTGATTTAACAGATCGTATTGTGCCTTTTATATTACTTTAAGGTTTATTATTGCATTTTGGGGACCGTTTGGCCAAAAGATAAATAAAAATACATTTATACATGGGCGCTTGCCTGTTTTTAAAACCTTGTCCCCCATTCTACACTTTTCATCTGCAAGCCTTTACATCCTGGGCTAGGAGAAAGCAACACTGGCCAGCAGAAGCATTTGCTATAAAAATAAAAATAAATTGGGTGTTCTTTGGGGAAAGAAAGAAAGAAAAAAGGGTCGCACCTCTCCATATGCTTTGCTTAGAAACACTGTTTTCAAGAGCACTGGAAAGGTTCTTCTCCCTTCCAAGCAACAGATACGCTCGCTCGCTGCTTCCTGCCCTGATTCTATCTCCGGTCAAACAGGTTTGGCAGGGTTTCAAAAGAGAACAAACCTGCGCCACCTGTTTCACCAAGTACAAAAATAGGATACAGCTGTTCCTTGCCTGGCCCCCTTCTTGGCAGACCATTCCAGCCTCAGCCAGCCCTGCTGCAGGCCTATGGGGATGATGGGCATTGTAGCCCAATTTGCCAGGAAAGGAGTTGGCTTTCAAAAGGTTAGTGGCAATCCACTTTTTCCAAGTGGCTCGGGAAAGAGGGGAGGGGAAAAATATCAATTATATTTTTCCAACCCAAAGTAACCTAGTTTTGAAGACATTTATGCAGTTTTGAACAGATGGTATCCTTTTTGGTAACTTAATCTACTGCCAAGTTTCAGGCTTAAAAGAAGGAAATAATAAAAAAAGGTCTCTAATGTCTAATTTTCTCCGCTAATGCTGGAATTTGGAAATGTTTTTCAATCATAGCTTCTTGTACCAAGGATCCTGGACTAAATCGGTCCCACATCTTCCCTTTATTGACTCCTTTTATTAAGGAACGAGCTTGTAATTGCTGTATCATCCCTTAGTGTGCATTTCATTTAAATGGCATTTAAGCTACTGATTTAGGACTTCGTCTGTTCCCTTATTGATCTTCCTTTTATTAAGGACCCAGCCTATTATTGCTGTTGAAAAATACTGCCGTGTTTTTAACTGCCAGGTTTTTGCTTTGCATTTATAGATGTTTTGTTTTCTACCCATCGGGAAGCCCTCCCCTCCCGTCTCTGTTTACAGGCGGCTTATCTCACCGTCCCGCGCAGCAGGCAGAGGGAACCCCTCTGAGCAGCTGGCATGCTCTGCCAGCTGACGTTGGCCAAGGGAAAGCGGAGTGCCCAGGCACTGGAAAAGCCCAGGATCCGACCGGCAGCCATCGCTGGCTTGATGCCCTGGCCAGTTCATCATGGTCTCGTTAAGCAGAGAGCCAGGCTGGGCTAAGAGAAAAGGCGGGCATGGCCAAGATCCAAAGAAGAAAAAGGGGGGGGGGAAACATTTTCTGGGCAAAACTTTTTCATGACATGAAGTTAAAAAAAATTAGAGATTTTCTCTCTATAATTTTTGTCCCGATCTTCATAACAAGCCCATTCCACGGCATTTTTAAAAGCGTCTGTCCTTCCTAACCGATTTTTCCTTATGAAGAAAGTGACGTGTCAACTTTTTTAATGTGTCACATTTCGGTGTTGTTGGGCGTTTTTTCCCCCTCCATTTTTATATTTAGAAAGACCACATAAATACTAGGGTTCCCCTTTGCCCCCACCACCTATCATAAAAGAACCTGTTACAGAAATACTAACCAATTCCCCCCACCCCCGAAAACAATAAACACAAAGTAAAAGCCTGTCTAAAAACCATCTTACGCTTAGCGAGAATCTTTCTGTATTTATCGATTCCAACCCTTGTACTTTAAGTAACTCATTACAAACAATGGCATTTGCAAACAATCCATGTTTACCCTGCAGTTGCAGAATACTGAAGCACAGTTACTTCTTTGCCTGTGTAACTGTAACTCTTTTTTAGTTACTCCTATAGTTGGGAAGATTGTGTGACCTCACTATTGGTCTAGGTAGGTCTTTGGTATGACCTACCTAGGCTCCTAGTGTGTTAACGATCAGCTAGGATTTGCTCTGGAAAGGCCAGAACTGAAAGAAATGACTCTTCTCCACTGTTTGCCAGCTGGCATTTAGAGATAGACTGGTCCTGAACATGGAAGCTCCACCAGCTTCGGGGAATGGGGGAGAGTCCATAGTGATGAATTTTTACCTCTTTCAGTCGGTGCTCCTTTTCGGCCACAATGTGCTGGATCATCATGGCCACCGAGTAGACCCACGAGATGACCATGCAGAGTGGCATCATGTGCTCAATAACAAACAGGAAGCTGTAGGGGAGGAAGAGGCGGAAAATCACTGAAAAGACAGGAACAGGAAGCTGTAGGGAAGAGGCGGAAAATCACTGAAAAGACAGGGCGAGGGGTCCTCAGAGGAAACCCACTGTTTGGGGCAGCCTAGCAGCCACACAGGAGCACAAATTCCATCCCAGACCTAGGAAATAATCTGTTACAAATTAACGCGTTGCCCGAATTGCTTAAAATTTTCAATAAACAACTTTAAAATCTTGAATCACTTAAAACATTGCTTTAAGCAATGATTCGTGTTTCTCATCACCTTAATTTATCAACAAGCCATTCAGCAAACTTGATTTACAAAAACAGCATCAATTGTTTGACAAATTAATGGATAAAATAAAAAAAAACGACGTTCGTTTATCTCAACATTAATGTGTGAGTTTTCTGTGATGATTTGATGGGACAAGCAGTTCCCATAAGGGAGATATTCAATTTTTTTTTTCTTGCAGAACTGGGTTTGGAGAATTTATAATAAAGCTGAATTTCCGGACAGCTTCCAGACATGAGGCCATCCGAATCGCCCGCAGCATCTCCGTGTCTTGGAGTTTCTCAAGGACGCTAGTACTCACTCGTCACGCGTGTAACAGGGATACGGAAACATCTGTACATAATTCCCGGGTTCCACCACGTCATGGCCCACAAAGGTGTTGATGATGGCTCGCTCCATCATATCTTTGAAGGAGCAAGGAGAGAGAGGGAAGAACCACTGTTAAGATCTGTCAACACTTTCCTCTGGGCACCTACAAGAAGCTCTTAAACCACACAATCTGGGGGTCTCAAACTGGACTTTCCATAGGGGGACTTAGAAACGTTCTTCTTTGTTGTTATCACATGGTGCTTGCTCTGGTGATATTTGGTTTGCTCTACAGCGCCACCACTGCAGGTGGCCAGATGGGGGATTGCAACTGCCAAGTCAACAGGGGCAACAAGAGTCATGGCTTCCCACCATCTCCTCTTCTTGAGGGTGAAGGAGTGGGTCCCCATGGGGAGCCCACCCTGCTCTCACCTTGGATCCAAACGAAGCCGTAGAGAAAGTAGAATCGTCCCCCCGTGTTCGGGCCAGGTCGCCAATACGCTCGGCGAATCTCATTCGTCTTCTCTGTGAAACTGGAGTTCTGCCGGATCTTGTAGAGGACGTGCGGGGGCAAAGTGCCGTCCTTGCTGGTCTGGAAGATGACACCTTCAGGAAGGAGGAAGGAGGGACAGAGAGAAGAGGGTCAGGCCTCTTTCTCTGCTGCTTCTTGCGGCGCTGTTTCGCTAAAGATCTCAAGCTGGGCATCACGATCCTAGAAGGGCAGAGCTGGAAGGGACCCCTTGGGGTCATCCAGTCCGCGATGCTGTTTCGCTAAAGACCTCAAGCGGGACATCCTAGAAGGGCAGAGCTGGGAAGGGACCCCTTGGGGTCATCCAGTCCAGCCCCTGCCAAGAAGGCCCACCGGGGGATCGAACTCCCAACCTCTGGCTGAACCACTGAGCTCTCCAGCCAGGATAAGTGGACAAGGACTGGGGGCAGGACCAAGATGAGGCTAAAGGAACCAGCAGTCCAACGTGACTGAAGAAGACAGTCATATGACCGAGAAGACGTGCGCCCTAGTCCGCGCAGGGAGGGGGAGGCCACAGAAGGAGGGGCCGTACTGGCAAAGACCGTCACATTGTCCTGGTAGGCTTGGTTCAGAGTATAGTTGACGATGCTCTCCTCGTCAGGGAAGCCTTTGAAGATGTCCACGCTGACCTGCAAGAGAGAAGAGAGAGTTCACAAGCAGGCGGATGGGGCTCCTCCTCTTAAGGCCTGCGATCAGGCCGGGCCAGCTTCTCCTCGTGAGCAAAAGTAGAGCGTCTTCAGAAGCCCCAGCTGAAATAGGGCCCACCAAATCAATGGGATCTCAACGGTGACGCAAGTCCCATCGAGGCAATGGGTCTACTCTAATTCAGACCCACCGTGGGACTCCACGACTCTTGTTTCATTTTCAGAACTGCGTTTCTTAAAAAAAATCAGAATTCTCCTAAAGAGAAGAGTGTTCGTGGACTCCAATATTTTAAAAACACAAAATATAGTTTCTCGCCAATGTGAAAACAAGGTTTCCCTCTCCTCTTGCTTTTTAAGAATCGGGCTAATGTATTGCACCAAAGACAATAAAGAATGTTATGGGACTTTTAATGTTAATGGGTTTTATCTGCACGCTTATAATTTCCTCCTGCTGGTCTCCCCAAATCTGTCCTCCCTGCCAGCTGTCAAAAGACAGCAAAATGGAAGCAAAACAGCAAAGTTTGAGAAAGTTCTTTAAAACACATACGCACGCAGACCAGCACCCATAATCCACTGCCAGGAGGGTGCCTGGGTGTCATGGGATCTGTAGTCCACAAATGGCCCCTTTCTCAAGCTCTTCGGCCTCAGAGCATCAAAACACCAACGAGGCGAGACTGAGCCCATTTTCAGAAGCCAGCCTCCGACGGCCCCCCCAAGGGTACCCCCCCACCTTGGACATGAACTGGATCCAACCGCAGGCGGCATTGTCGATGGTGTCCAGCTGCTGGAGGAGCGCGCTGGCGTTAGACAAGGAGAAGTTGCTCTCCATGAAGTTGTGGAGCAGGTCGCTGTCCGAAACGTTCAGGATTTCGGGGTGCTTGTGAAGATCCGCGGCGATCTGGAGAGGCAGCGAGCAAACGGGGGTGGGTGGGAGAGAAAGGGTGTGAACGCCATCTGTTGCGACAGACAACTGGGTCTGTGTTCTAGGAACCCCACTTGATAGGGGCCAGAAGATGATGTTTCAGCCCTGGAGAGGGGGGATTTCCACTGCAGAAAAGCAGTTCGTCTGGGCATCAAAGACAGAAGCCCCACTGGGAAGCTTTGAGGATCCTTTTGGATCCAAACCGTCGCAGCCACGCAACGGCACCTCTCGCTGTTTGTTCTAACCGTTCGACTCGGGGAGAGGAGGCCCAGATCGGCCGGCACCCAGGTTACCTGTTGTAGCCAGAGGATCCGCTGCTGCAGTTTCCCCTCCTCCAGGAAGCTGCGGATCTCGGCCGAGATGTTGAGCCAGACCTGAGCGTAGTGCGTCACGTTCCCGACAAAGGCGAAGGTCTCGTTGGCCTGCGGAACGGGAACAGAGGGCGAAGGAAGGAAGAAAATCACCCACCGTCTCTGTGTGGCCACGGTGAAGAAATGCAATGGCTTTCGCGAGAAAGGGAGCAGAAAACCGGGTCTCCCCAAGCCGAGGCTCTGTACGGGAGCCTCACCTTCAGGATGACCTTATCGACTTCAGTGCCCACGGGCGCATAGAGGATCTTGGGGTTGCTGGTCATCAGGTGGACGAGGAGGCCCAGATTCCTCTGTTCTTTGCTGGTGAAGCCTAACGAACTCATGTTCCCCTGTTTCAAAGCTTCCGGCTCGATGGTTCTGCAGGAGAAAGAGGTGTAAAAGATACAAGTGGTGCCTCGCTAGACGATGGTAATCCGTTCCACTGAAATGGTTGTTTAGCAAAATCATCGTCTAGTGAAAAGCAAATAGTCATCTAGCGAAAATCGGTTTGTGAAGCAGGGACCAAACATTGTCCAGCGAAATTCCCCCCCAGAGGAATCACTGTTTTGCAAATCGCTATAGCGATCGCAAAAAGACAATGTCTAGCGAAAAAACTGTCATGCAGGGTAACTGTCTAGTGAGGCACCACTGTATAGGATGCTACCAAACAGGTGGGTCTTTTTTTGCTAACCTTGCTTTTTCCTCTTTAATAGGGGCTTGGCAGGAAAGAAGTGGGGGAAAGACAGAAGCCAAAATCCAAATACAGTACCACCCTCGCCGCATCATCAGAACAGCTGATCTCTGAAGGCTTAGAAAACCAGAGACAGAGGGTTTATCTTATTGGGGAAGCCCTTAAACCTTACCGAGGGATGATTGGGGGGGCACAAGGAGGAAGGGGTACGGGGTGGACCATTCTCTCCAATTTGATCCTGCTGTGGCATTGGGGGGGGGTGCATTTAATTCTAGCTGTGAGCAGCCTTGTGTTCCCAACTGGTAAGAAAAGCAGGATATAAATGAAATAAACCAAATCAAAATAAAAATTAATTGATTGGGAAGGGTTCATAGTAGGAGACATTGTATTCTGGACCGTACAAGTTGGTGGAGATAAGAAAGTCAAGGTATTGATATTAAGTTTCTTTCATTCATTCATTCATTCACGGGAGGATTGATAATAGGAGACATTGTATTCTGGTCTGTACAAGTCTGTGGAGATAAGAAATTCAAAGTATTGATATTAAGTTTCATTCATTCATTCATTCATTCATTCATTCATTCATTCATTCATTCATTCAAAATATTTCTGCCTTCCCTTCATCTTTAGAAAGACCCAAAGCAGCTTATGTCATTAAAAGGACACTATTTAAAAGCTAAAAGCAGTAAGTATACACATATTTTTAAAAAAGAATTAAACTAATACCATATTTAAAATGGTAAATAAAATCAATACAAAACATATTTAAAAGCAACACTGCAGAACAATCCAATATGAAAAAGCCCTGTAAATATAAGCTTTATTTGAAGGCCCCCATGACTGCACACATATCAACATGTACTAGGAGATAGCTTTTCCTTTTTTAAGAGTTTGCCCATCTTTAAAAAGATCCTTGCCAATGGGACAACACCCATAAAAATCTATTTTCCGATTGTTCATATTTTTGCCATGCGCGGGCCAAATTTATCCCCTGCTCCATCCCACACCTTTCGTCTTTCTTCAGCAATGAATTTTTATCCCCCCCGCCAAAGCTTCCAATATCATTTCTAAAGTGATTTGATGGCTCATTTAGCACTCAAGCCCTTCTGTTTTAATAATTAGGCAGAGTGATGGGTGTAGCCGTCAAAAACAAAAGTTAACAGGGATCCTATGAAAGAGTCAATGAAAATCAAATCTCGTGTTGATCTTTCCTGGAGGGGGGGGACAACGGACAACCACCCAGAGAAATCACAGCAGGCTGACCGATCGCTTACCGGTTGTTGCCACAGAGGATCGGCTGCAACCCGGCCCAAAGCTGGACAAAGGCCGAGCACTGGGGGTTCTCGGCGGGGGCTTCGCTCTCCCCCTTGACACCGTCCTCGGTGCTGGAGTTTGTGCCGGAGGTGAAGTTCCCTCCGGCCGAGCTGGCGGTGGCGTTGGAAGCGGCCGGCTGGGGAGCCTTGGTCGAACAGGCCCCCTTGGGGAGCAGCTTGGCCAAAGCCGACAGGATGTCCACGTCCTTCAAGACGGTCTGCATCTCCATCAGGTCCTCCAGCAGGGCGTGGAGACGATTCCGGGCGGCCGTGCTGTTCACCTCGTCCAGTTTCAACTGCAACGAGAAGGACACGCGTTCCGGCAACCCCATGGACACATTTCGGCATTTCTACCAAGCGACCAGCTACGAGCCTGTTCTTATTCATCAGTCTCAAAGGGGCTGCAGGAAACCTGAACAGTCATATCTCAAACAACAGTTTGAGTCAAAATATGATTTTTAGACTACAATTCTCAACCTGAAAAGCATTCATTGATGCTACTTCATAGCTGGCACCACAGTCTATGTGACGTTATGGGGACCCCCTTCATTGCAAGTTTGAAATATAACCATATATATTAGGATTTATCAATTATATAAAGATAGCCAATGAATTTCATATGTATAGCCAAGTCCTGGTTCTAGTTTTCTTCAATGAACTTTGGAAACACAGCCATCTTCCCCACTTTTTAAAAAAAAAATAAGATAAAGAAGAAGAATGAAAACAGAAATGAGTTTACGTACAATTCTCGCATCTCAGAGACATCTGATATTTGTACACAACTCTACATTTTATACTAAACATACTATTCTATGCTTTAAATTTACTTAGATTAGATTAGGCATCCTTCAGTCTCGAGAGACTATGGTATCGTGCAAATTAAATTTACTTTTTGAAATAGATGCTCTCCTCATCCTCAATTCTATCTTATTCTTCGTCCTCATTTTTACTTTTTTAACATCCATTTCCCCCACCTTGAGCGAAGGTAATCGTGAAACAATAAAACAAAACAGGCTTCTTTCCGAAGGCATTTCAAAGAATTATCACTTAGAAAGAAATGTGAAAGGAACATCCTGAGAAATTCCTGGGAAGGAAACTTCAAAGGAACACCAATTTAAATAACTTGTTTTATGGCCCTTTGTGTGTTTCCCATATGGCTTTGTAATGCCTTTGGTTCTGTAGACTGTTTTTACATATACACTGTGGGTCGTGTCTACAGCTGGCCAGTATGAATAAACCATTTCCAAAACCCTCATTTCACTGCATTACAAATTCTTAAGAGAAAAAGGTTCTCTACAACGTCAGATACTAAATAATCATACACTGGTATTCCCTATCTGTGTATTGCTTTATATTTTTAAATGGTGCATTTAAATTATGCACTGCAACATTTTTTTACATTGCATATTTCTTGATGCCCTGTGCATTTTCAGCAACACCTGGTAGAAACTTAAGCACCCGGGTTCAGAATGCCAACCCCGTTAACAAGGTTAAGGACCTTCCCGATGCAGTTAAGCAAGCCACCCTGCGTGGTTTTGGCAGGCGGTCAATTGCAACCCAACTATTAAGTGCCCGGACTAGCTGGGCATGAACCCCACTGGCATCGCTTCCGGACAACTCAGAGACTCCTCCTTCCTTAATCATCCTTCCCCTGCTGACCTTCCTGATGACCTTTTCTGCGTCCAGCTGGTCTTTCAGCTCCGAGGCCAGCTGCCCAAAATAGTCCTTGTGCCGGCTGGCGCTCTTGTTGCAGACGGCGGCCTGGTACGCTCGCAAGAGGGGGCGCTGCCTCTCCGGGAGGTTCAGGATCTGCTTCAGCTCGTCCTGGCGCTGCTGGCAGGTGAGGCTCTCCAGCACAGCCGGCGTGAACAAGACGTTCTGGGAAAGGCAATGACAGACTCGGGAAATATAGAATTTGGGGAAAGGGGCTTTGAGGGAGGGAACCACGATGGCCAGAATACTCGGATCTTAGGAAAGTTGCTTTATTTATATAATTGATGTCCTGGAAATGTAGGTACAGGACAACTCTGGCAAACCCAAAGTGGTCCTGAAAAAGTTACTTTCCTCAATTCTTTTCGGGGCTTCTTAGACACCGGATCTGGCCCTCAGGCTGAAAAAACCCCACACCCTTGGACCAACACCCCGGAAACATTTTTGGAAGGGCATCAGCCCCCTCCTGGGGCACGGCGACTGTCCTCAGGCCCTCACCTCCATGTCCTTCACGAAGGCCTGCGGGGTGTAAGAGCTGGACGGCTCCGGAGCAGGACTGGTGAGGCCCAAGGCCTGAGAGAGGAGGTGGAGGAGAGCTTTTTTGGGGGGGCTCTTCTTCTGGGGGTGACGCAAGGCTTGGCGGACCAGCCCATCCTCTACCGTCCGCAGGCTGCCGAGAAGGCTTTCCTGCAGGAGACAGGAGGAGGGAGCTTGTGAGAGAGCAGGAACGGCCTCGGATGCCACCCAAAGGTAGAACATTGGGGAGAAATAGAATGGATGGATGGATGGATGGATGGATGGATGGATGGATGGATGGATGGATGGATGGATGGATGGATGGATGGATGGATGGATGGATGGATGGATGGATGGATGGATGGGTTGGTGGATGGATGGATGGATGGATGGATGGATGGATGGATGGATGGATGGATGGATGGATGGATGGATGGAAGGAAGGAAGGAAGGAAGGAAGGAAGGAAAGAAGGAAAAGGGAAGGAAAAGGGAAGGAAAAGGGAAAGGCAAGAAAATAACCCAGGAAACCACCCTTCCGCCCTGCCTCCTGTCCACCTTTGCCGCGACACCCACGAAGGGGCAGGAGGGGGTCTTACTTCCAGGTGAAGGAGTTTCTCTGCTGTGCCAAATCGGTCCCAGGGCTCGTGAAAACCTTCCGCGGAGGCAGGAGAGGTGCCGAAGAACAACCGGTACACCTGGGGGGGGGAAAGAAGCCACGAGATCTCATGGTGCTGCTCCTTCGGGATTGATTCTGGACAGGTCAAACAAAGGGCATCTTCCCACGTTGCCCGGTGGAACGGCGGGACTCCCTGCCACTAGACGTGGGAGCCGCAGCCCACTCAGGACAGCTTTGGAAGGATGGGGGGCAGGGATTTGACAGACGTGACGGCAACAAAAGGATCTGAGAGGCGAAAGAACTCCAGTGTGAGGAAGGGACACGGTCTGTGGGCCTATGAAAGCTTAGTAGAAAGGCAAAGAAGCGGAAATTTGACGAAAGTGGACAAACTTGAATCCGGTTCAGAGAACGCTTCATTCCAGACTTTGGAGAATGGAATGCTAGACTAGACAGACCGGCTGCTGGCCTGATCCATCACAACTATCCTCAGTTTCTTAGTTTTCCCGCCCTGCGCACAGGCGCGCACCACACCCAATTCAGGTACCTCTTTCAGGTTAATGCTGGACGCCGTCAGCATCTCCACCGTCTCGTTGGACAAGGAAAGGTTCTGCTTGAGGAACCGGTGGAATTCGGCTCGGTCCTTGGCCACGGAGTCCAGCGTGAAGCCAGAAGCTGCCGGGAGGATGTGGGGGGGGAAGAAGAGAAAACGGGGACAGGATGAAGCTGGGAGAGGTCGGAGCCTGGAAACAGGGGCCGGGGTTTCTGCCTCTGTGGTTGAGGAGCAGCTTTCCGTGTGGAAGATCTTATCGTTAAAGGAAGAAAGGCTAAAGGATCTTTAGTTAAAGGAGGAAAAGGCTGTGCAGTGGGGTGGTGTCTCTAAAGCACAGCAGTTTTTAAAAAGTAACTTTTCTGTTGTGCCCACCGTCAGCATGCTACCACCAATTAATAAATGTTTGTGAACATTCTTTGACAGCCTCGTCAGGAATAGGAAAATCATACAGATTTCCAATCTAGCCAAGATGGGAGGAGTGAAGGGTCCGTTTTCTTCCCGGGCACCCCATCCATTAATCTAGCCCTGGGCTCAAGTTACTTTGGTGGGGGGGGGCAAGTCGGGCCCTCCTGGATCTATAGGGACCACCCCTCTGCTCTGTACAGCTGCTAGGATTCAGTGGTAAATCACTGCTCTAAAAACCCCACCTCAAATTGGCCTGATTATCCTGAGTTAGACAAGGAAGTGTTCTCTAGGGTCTCCAGAAGAGAAGGAACTTTTCTAAGAACATCTACCAGGTCCCTTGGACATGTTGTTAGACGAGGACCTGGTAGATGGTCTTAAAGAAGGCCCTTCTTTCTGAGATACCCTAGAACAGTGGTCCCCAACCTTGGGCCTCCAGATGTTGGACTACAGCTCCCAGAAGCCTTCACTACCAGCTGTGCTGGCCAGGATTTCTGGGAGTTGAAGTCCAAGAACATCTGGAGGCCCCAAGGTTGGGGACCACTGCCCTAGAGAATGTGGACAGTGACTCCAGTTAGACAAGGAGTCACATTTCCATATTTAAAGAGGAGTTTGCGCCAGCGAGACATGCCTGCTCCTTCCAGCCTGAGCATCAGTCTTGGGAGCGTACCCGCCTGGTCGCTGAAGTGGGTCTCCATCGTGCCCGGCTCGTTGCTGCCGAACGACTCCAGGTGGCGCCTCAAAGACTCCAGCTCTTCTTCCAAGCCAGCATGATCGGGATCAAATAAGTTACTTTTTTCCACCACCTCGTTCAGCCGCTCCAGCAGCTGCGTCACCCTGCAGGGAAGAAGCACAAGAGAGCGGTGTGTTTGCCAAGGGTGTCAACCAGGAGGGACGTGGTGGAAGCAAATCAGCTGGGTCACAAATCAGGTGGTTGGGGGGGGGCAGAGTTGCCTTTGTCTGGTGGAAGAATGCAAAGGGACGGTCCCAGCGTGAAACAGCTGAATTTCTGCTAAGAGCAAAGTTTAACTGTATTCCTGCGGGCCCAGATAGAGACAATGGCTTCTTATGTCGCTGTAGACGGGAATCAACTGATCAAGTTAACAATCTCCTCTCCCGAAAAGGCCTAGCCAAAGATCGCCCGCACAACGAAAACGGCAAAGAATGCGATTCCAAAGGGAGTCCCATGCGCCTTACATTTGGAGCATTGTGTCAACCAAGGAAACTTAGGGGACTTACGTGGAGTTGGAGTACTGCAAGAATCCGAACTCGTCACGTTGGCCGTCCGGGCACAAGGACTGCATCACCGGCAAAATCCCGGCCGAGGTGAGCGGTGATGCCGTGTAGTATGCTAGAGAGCGGGGGGAAGATCGTGAGCAGAAAGAAGAAGAGGAGGGAGAGGTCGATAGAGGAACAGGACAGGGAGAAGACACACAACCGATTCGAAGAAGGGCGATGTGCAAGGGCTGGAACACTATCGTTACTGACTCGTTAGCTTCCCTCCATCAAATCCAACACAGATGTTGTCCTTAAGGGGTGAAAGGTCATAGGCCGTTTTGAACGGTCAATGGCTGGCAACTTCCAGAGAAGTTGAACTACAACTTCCGTCATCCCCAGCCAGTGTGAGAGTTGGTGTTGTCGTCCCAAACCCACCCAGCGCCGGCACGTTGGAGAAAAGCTGTGCCACACTGACAACCAAGAGAGAGAGAGAGATGATTCAATTATCAGGTAGTTTAGTTTGGACACAACCTCTTGCTCCCATAGTGTGATGATGGAAACCAAGAATGGGAAAAAAAATCCAATTTGCAATTGGAATTTCAAAATTTGGTGAGTCATCACCATCATCATCATTTTTAGTGTTGCCGTTTTTTGTAGCTCTGATGGCGTCGTTTCTGGAATCTGCGTAGTAGGAGAATTCTTGACGTTGTTTCTGGGGCCCCGATGACAACAGGGGCCACTGAGACACCTCGCTTGTGGACAGAGCATCCTTCAGTGGTGGTCCCCTTCGTCACTGGGGCTTTGGGAGCATTGTTGGGAAATTTCACCCTGTGATGCGGACGGCTACAGATTCTGGCAGTGACATCGTTGGAGTTGCAAAAAAAACGGCAATATTGGGAACAGCACATACACTACGTTGATATTTAACAGATACTTAGATTTTTGGTTTAAAAAACCTGTGTCCATGTTTTTATAATTTTGATGGACTATGCCTGGTGTTTTGAATAAGAATAACAATAAATTGAATTCCCAAGTCCTGTTTCCATGCCAATAATGACCTTTCGCTCCTTTATCAGACATTGTTTTGCTTTAGCAGCCAGTTAAACATACTGTACATTCTACATAGGGAAAGGTAGATTAAGAAATCACAGCAACCAGGGCAGTGAGGGAGAGAAGACCGTAAGACCCTGTTAAGAGTATAGCATAGAACAAGTCAACCTGACCCCACGCGCTTTGGACGCTCAGCCTTTGATCGATTCCTGTTCAGGTCCCAAAACTGCAGCTCGCCAGGAAAGAAAGTTAGGATGGGAAACCGAAATGAAGGGTGGGAGAAGCCAAATATTAACCTAAAGCAGTGGTGGTTGAGCGTGGTACCTAAACTGTCTTGTGCACGGTGGCTTCGAAGCCTCCATTTTTCCACCAGCATGGCCGAATTTTTTTGGAGCTTCCCGTTGCAAACGAAAAGAAAATTGGGATTTCGTTTTGCTCCAAATTCAACTTTTTGCAGAAGGTGTTTCTTCTTCGTCTTCGTCTTTTTTTTTGACATGCACAAAAAAGTTCACACCACAGGGATTTCGAAGTAAGATAAAACCCAAAGTGGAAGGGATAGGAAGGGAGGGTCCGAATGAAGAACCGCAAGAGATTAGTCCCAACAGTTAGGTTAATGGGGCTGCTTTTCCCCCACAATGCATTGTTCGAGGTCAAAACGGGGAGGAAAAAAAAGGCAAATCGAACTTACAGACTGGAAGGCAACAGGAGTCACGTGGCAAAGAAATGCAAACAAGACAGATGAAAGGGAAAGAAAGAAAGAACAGAAAGAAAGAAAGAACCAGAAAAGGAAAGGGAAAAAAACAAGGGTGGGGAGAAGGAAGGGAAAAAAGAATGCATAAGAAATAAAGAAAAACACAACTCAAAGCATAAATGTCAGACCATGGTGACTACACAGAGACGTAACCAAAATGTGACAATGAGCGGTTGATCTCGAACTTTTGCTGCAAGCAGTTACCCTGCATGGCAGCTACATTTGGGCAACCAAGGCATAGAAGGTGGCCCATAAAAGGGGCTTACGACAACATCATTTAAAAGAAGCCTTCCTAACAGCATGTGTCCATACTTTGCAATTCAGCTGCTTTAAGAGTAATTTGTAGCCATCCGGGCTAGCTTGGAGACGTGTTAAGATCAGCTTGGGAACGCTCTGTTTTTGGACTACACTACCGCAAATCCCTCATCTAGAATAGCCCTTGGTCTCTGAATTGCCCAATCTGTGCACCCGTCTGTGGATGTTTTATTTGTTGTGTGTTTTTTAAAACTGTATTTATATGCCACTTTTCTCCCTACAATGGGACCTCAGGTGGCTCAATAACTCTTAGACAAGCAAGAATCAAAACAACATACAACCAGCAATCACAACAAAGCATCGTTAAAACCATCATTTGGGCTATTAACATCAGACTTTTCCTGGCCAGTTTTATCACTTTCGTAGACAACAAATCCATAAATGCGGCAAAAGGGGCCGTTCTCGCTTTGGCACCAGCTGGAGAAGAGACCGCTAAATGTGGAACCAGCTTCAGCCTCCGTAGAGCAGGGTTGCCTTCCCTACTAACCAGCCACAGTCCACATCTTACCTTCTTTGACAGGAATGGTGGGTTTCTTCTGCCGCAGACCCAGTAAGATGAAGAAGAGGACCAAGGGGATGAAGATCTCGAAAGCCAGCACCCACTGTGGACGAGAAAGCCGAGGGGAAAAGAATAGAAGAGTCAGAAAGATGGGAAAGCTTCTGGAGAGGCAACGGGGGACAGGTTCGCCAGCTCCTTAGAGATGCACTAGAGAAAATACAATTAAACAAACTGTACACACACACACACACACACAGAAAGAATAGAAGAGTCAGAAACATGGGAAAACCTCTGTAGAGGCAATGGGGGACAGGTTCACCAGCTTCTTAGTGCTGCGTTAGAGAAAATACAATTAGACAAAGTGTACACACACACATAAACACACTCTTTCCCCTTCCTCGTTCTATTAGAACCCAGGGAAATGGACTAGCAAGATTTAAAAGGAAGCATTTTCTTCATATTAACCTCTGGAACTCACTGCCACAAGATGGGACAATGTTTACCAGTTTCAACCCTTGGCAATTGTCTACAACGTCCAGAATCTGCAGCCAACACATCCAGCTTTTCTGGTTTTCAGTTTTTGCACGTATTGGCTGCGCTTTCAAACATCCCAAGAGCCTCGTCTTTTGGTACTCGTCTGGCCGGTGCGTCTGTTTCAGTTGTGATTTTCGTTGAGAGTTGTGTTTCTGAATTTGTAAACCTTCCTTAGGTGGGGGTCACTTGGATGGTGGGTTGGGATAAATAATGAAGAGACCAAATAACTAAACAAATGATGCGTAAAGTCTCTTATCCATCTCACCACCGTTAGAAGCCTGCATAAATAAACCACCCGATAAAAGCCGAGATGGGTGGAACATCAAACCAGGAGGGACGCCACACGAAAGAGCAATTTTGGAAGGAAAAAATAATGAATCACAAAGCAAAACTTTTGCCTACTTTTTCTCTCGTCTCAATAAGTTCTGGGATTGTCTGCTTTTTGTAGGGTTTTTTTTTTAAACCAATCTTTTCAGGCTTTATCAAGCAACCCGCCATTGTTCAGGACGGCGAGCAAATGTTGCCTCGATGCTCATTTTAATTGAGCTGCAATTAACCCAGTTCTGTCTCCATTCCCAATCAGAAGCATCCGCTTCGCCATTCATGCAGCCCCAAAGCGTTACGGAGGGATCCGAGGAAAGCATCTCCATCTAGGATAATGAGAGTTCCCGGAACGGATGATTTTTAAGACCTTCTCCCCATTCAAAGCTTTCCCGATCGATACCCCCAGGTCCTCCCGAGTGAGACCCCCACCAGGGCTGAACTAGGTGGGGGTCTCACCATCTGCTGCCAACTGTCACAAACTCAGGGCACCGCTGTGCCATCAATCAGCCAGGGGCACCGACCAACAAGGTCCTTGTTAACCTCCGGAAAAATGGGGCCTCTGAGGCTAACGCTCCAGCCGGATAATTTTCCCACCCACCACGACTCCGACCAGCCAAGAATTGCTATATTGGTTACAGGCACGGTGCCCTGAGAGAGCCAAAGGGCATCCGTGGTGGGCATCACACGCCTGAGTTGTTTTTTTTTCCTGGCTGGCCACAGATGGTGCAGAGGGACCCGCACTTGCTCCGCCAGACACCCCAGGCATGTGGAAACGCGTCTCGAAAGTTCAAGCCAGCGCTGGACGATGTCTGCCCGGAAAGGTCAAGCGCAGCTATGCAGAAAAAATGCCCTCCCTGCCTTAGGCCAGCCTGGCTGACCGTCTATGAACCAGATGCACCCTTTTGGTCAATGATGCAGCTTTACTGATTGTCCCTCGCCCCCCCCCAGAAACGGTGATAAATTTGCACTTTCTAGATCTCTACACTGTTCTACCCCCTTGGCGTCTGTCTGTCTTTCTGTCTCTCTCTCCCTTATTTTCAAATCTCTGGGGTTTTCTAAACCATGGGTCCTGAAATCGACAGGATACAGCTCCCAGGTTTAAAAAAAAAATGGGTCAGATTTTGGGGCCGGCCAGAAGCGGACGTGACGAAGAAAGAAAAGAACCAGCTCGTGTTTGTAGAAACGACCGTCAGCAAGAGAGAAAAAGAACGAGGCGCTCTTCTTTAGAGGTACCCACATCATTCAGCTTTTTAAAGAGAAAAAGGCAGATCTCGACTCTGTAGGGTCACGTTGCCAAGATGACTTGGCACATTCTCCTACACCCGTCTCATGCTGCCACGCAGAGCGCTGGAAATCAAACCACCTTCTAACACAATAAATCTTTATTTATTGTGCTCAAAGCCGTTCCCCACCTTTCTCAGTGCCCTTGAGACCGGCTGCTGGTACTCCGAGGCAAACGTAAGTGTGTGGGGGGGGAAGCAGGATGCTTCCTCGCTGCCACCAAGCAAACCGCATTTTAATTTCTCAATGCCAAGGAACTCCGGACATTTCTCTGCATCCATGGCATGGGGTTCAAGTCTTGCCCCTTCCTACAGCCATGCAGCTGGAAAAAATCACCCCAAATGACTTCTGTCTGGCTTAGGAAAACATCTTAATGCCCGGCTAGCCATATATGCAGGAAAAGCAAATGTGGGCATCTTTCTCCTGCTCCGATTCTGCCCAGGGCCGGTCCCTCTAAGCCTTTCAGACTCAATACCTTAAACCCCAGAAAGAGAGGAGAACCAAGACCACATTTCTCCTGCAAGCACAGTGCGCCTAACCCTTCACCCGGCCCACGTGCCAGCCACGGGCTCATCCCTTCCTCGTTCTCTCCTCCCGCGTAAACGCTGGCCCTCGGGAGGGGCCCTTTCGCCCTGCAACCACCCCCAGCTTAGGTTTCACTGCTGTTGTCCCATATATTGCACGCCTCCTTGTTTACCCGTGCAAGCTCTCTCTGTTTTCCCCCCCTCCTTCTAACAACAATCGCCACTTTGTCACCACAAAACATTTAACACCCACGTCCCTTGCCAGCTTCTCTGCCAGGCTGTGCCAAGCTCGGCTTGGGGCCGGCCAGCCCTCTTTTTTCGCTTTGAGAAACCGGAGACGTCATCGCTATTTTCACTGTTGCTTTTTGGAGAGGGTGGGGAGGACCCAGGGAGGCTCCCAAGGCAGGGAACCGCCATGGCGTGGCAGTGCCAACAACACACCTGTAAGGCGGGCCACGCGGGATTTTGGAGAGGGGGGAAACGGGCCGTGTCTAAGTCAGGCAAACCAAAAGCTGTTAAGGGGCCTTCTCCACTATACCTCGTAGCCTCGTCATCCAAATACAATTTATTTCATTTTTTTCCCCAACCCACATTCCCTTGTGCATAAAATGCCAGGGACGGAAGGCCAGGCATGACGTCCGTGCTAGGAAGTCGCCAGACGGGCCAGATTTGCAAGCGCAGAAGGGCATAAAAAATGGGAAAAAATCACAGCCTTCTACACTTTAGCTGGCTGCCGGTGGTGGCTAGACCCTTGGAAATTTTTGGGTGTGTGTGTGTTTTCGACAGGTGGGCACGGCCGAGGGGTGCTCTTAACATCCAGCCACGCAGCACGACAAGGCTTTGAGACCCACGGCCGAAACATTAGAGCAGGGCAGGCGTTTGGTCTTTAAAGGAGAAGACTACCAAAGTTGGTCCTCTCCTGATGTCCCCCCCCCCCCGAGCGCCAGCAACCCATCCTTTCCCTTGCGCGGGCTACCCATGGTTAGCCTCAATCGCCCACCAGAGATCCAGAGGCGGGGGGGGGCACCATGGCCTCCCAAACTCTGAGGGGGAACCGAACAGGTCCGAGCACTTGATCGCGTGGGGTGCAGCCTTTTAAGCGAGCCGATGAGCATTTTAATCGTTCGACACTCAAAAGGCAAGGAAATCTGGCTGGCACTCCCGGATATTTGGGAAAATTGCAGGTAAAAAAGGGCACGTTGCTTGGGAATGGAACAAAACAACGGATACTGTACACATGCCCCCCCCCAAAATGAAAATATTGTTGCACATAGATTGGGTAAGCTGGACAGGGACTGTTGTGATGATGTCCGTGGATCAAAACACGGCCCTGTGATGCCAGCAGACCCAATGAGGGGCCAACTCCAACCTCCGTCACTCTCCCCCCCCAATTGCCTCTCCCACCCCCATCTGCCCTCCTTCTGCCCCCTTTTTTTTCCTTTCTGCCTCTCCCACAGCAAAAACCCAGGCCCGGCCTTATAAAGAAGATTTTCTTTGCCACGTTTCCATAGCAACAGAAACAGGTTTCGCATGGCAAGAGGCAGATACACCATTTTGTGGCTGTCCATCCTCCCCCCTCGACTCCCTTCCTTCCCCCCCCTCAATAAAACCCCACACACAACAACAACAACACGCATCGGCCGAAGTGACCCACATAGCGATGAGCTGGTTTTTCAGAGCCCCATAGAAACACAGCACAAAAGTGAGGAAGGAAAGGGTGCAGGATGAGGACCAGTTTGGATTTAGTTCCCCCCCACACTCCAAAAACCTCAATCCGCCACCCTGTTTCCATGCTTTGCAACACCAACATTTTCGCCTGTTTATTGACTGAAGGCAGGACGTTAAAAGCAATGGGTGTTTTTACCCTTTTGTTCCGGTTTTTTTTTAAAGCCATACATGAGGTCAAAGTCCACCTGCAGCTCAGCAGCCAGATGGATGTTCTTGGAAATTCGAGACATTTTCTGATTTGTGCGTTCCTGGTTCATTTGCCTTTTGCTTCCCATGCATTGTGTCCTAAACGCACACACATACACACCCTTCTAATGGGGCGAGAGGTGAGCTTCTTTCCTAGAGGGAAAGAAGTTAGAGATGGGTTCAAATGCAAAAGGAAATGAGAAGTTTTTCCAAAACAAAGAAAGGTCAGATAAAACATATAGGTATTGCCCGGCAACTATCTGGAACCCACTGTTGATGCATCTCAAGCCCAATTAAACATATTAATCTTTGAGATGCAATCCAAGTCTCTTAACTAACATGGCCATTCCACCCCCCTATTCAGATCATGACGGGTGAGCACCCTTTCTCCAACCGGAAACACTTCCCGTTTTTAAATTAATGATCCACTCCTAATTTCCCACCCTGCACCAAAGATTTCGAGTAATTCAGAACGAATAGAAACAGGTTTGTGGGCAGCTGATAGCCAGGTGTTTTTTTTTCTATG